TTCACTCAGCATAATGTCCTCCGTGGAAGGAGGAGTGGTATCCACTTCCATAATAGCTTGCCTCCAGAAACCCTATGAACCTGGAGAGAGGATGAAAGGTACCCAAGCATCGAGGACTCTCCTTCATAGGGTCGCTATGAGTCGCCTTCAACTCCACAGCACTTATCAACAACAACAACAATGTCCTCCAGGGTCACCCATTTTGAATAATATTGTACCAGTTCCTTGTTTTCTAATGCAGCGTAGTATTCCATTGTATGAATATACCACAGCTTCTCTATCCATTCATTTGTTAAAGGGCACTTAGTTTGTTTCCAACTCTTTGCTACTGTGAACAAAGCCACAATAAACATGGGTTTGCAAACTTTCTTTCTTGTAATCATCTTTATACAAATGACAGTCCTGAAAATATTCTTCCTTCCGTATCATTAGGGCTGACTCTGAGAGCTGATGGCTAAGTGATAAGGAATCATGCTGCTAACCCGAAGGTACAGGGTTCGAATCTACCAGCTGCTCTGAGGGAGAAAGATGTGATCTCCTCCCATGCAATTTTACTGCCTCTGAAACCCGTTAGCGGGTCAGCTGTGGGTCAATTCCAAGTCAACAGTCCTTAACAACAACTGCTTGGGGATCCAGCTTTTCTTCAGCCATTTTTATTGTTGAAACTTTCCACCCTGAGAGGCCCATCTTCCAGCATTCTGTGTGTCACACAACATTTCATTGTTATTCACAAGTTTGCACTGGCGAAACCTCAGTGGAAGCCTATCCCTGGCCCCTTCTCCTAGTCTGTGCTAGGCTCAAAGCCCCACTGAGACCTGTCCATCTTGGATGACCTTGCTGCTGTTGGACACACCAGGGGTATAGCTTCCACCACCCAAGCAGCATGCAGCAAACTGACAGCTAAGCGGTGGTTCTACAAAGAGGCATTTCACATGATCCATGTCTGTATGGAGTTGACAGTCAGGCTAAGGGGACAAAAAGAAAAGAAACCTCCCAGTTTATCACTGTAACATCAGGACACTGAGCTGGTCAGGGCTTGGGAGATGCCAGGCTCATCACAGTCTGTCCCAGTAAAGCTTGCAGCAACCTCAAATCAGTCAAGTCAATCCCACCTCATGGCGACCCCATGTCTATTAAAGCAGAACTGCATCCCTGAAGTTTTCAGAAGCAGATCACCAATTCTGTCTTCTGAGGCATCTCTGGGTGTATTTGAACTGCCAACCCTTGTGTTCACAGCAAAGTGCAGTCACTTTTCGCACCACTGGGTACTCCCTCCAACAATCTTTGCTCCTCTTATCCACCAGCACGAGGTAGCCTGGGTTGGTTTCTGTCTCTTGCCATCCGTTCAGAACAAGGAGCTGACATATACACGCACTGAGGTGGGTACGTCACATTCTGTCTGTCTACTTAGCACCGTTGAACATCCTTCATCTCTAAACCAGTGCTTCCTCAGGGCAGAAGGAAAGAATACCTCCTCTCCTTTATTCACATGACGGAGAGCCTGCAGATGGCACCGGATAGGTCAAAGTTCTGATCTGCGGTTCATAGGATCCTGGCTGTTAGAGTTTATCAGAGGCTCCAGTGGAGGGAAGATAGGGGAATCTGCTCCCATAATAATCACAGCCTAAGATGCCCCACGTGTTGCTCTGTGCCGTCAAGTTGGAACTGAGCCGTAGCTGGTCCTCCAGCGGGTCCTCAGAGACAGTTAATAACACAGGAGGAGATCGTCCATCTTTCAAGCACAGTTGATGGATTCGAACTGCGTGCCTTCGAGTTGGCTGTTGCAGCTCCTTACCACCAAGCTGCCAGAGCCCTACTCTGTCCTGTGGGTTGAGTGGGAGTCAGAAGCCACTTGACAACACACAACAACAATGTTCTAAAGGTGCTGAAGTGATGGGTGTTTGGGGGCACATTTTTCTTTTGTCTGTGTTTTCTGTACGCTTGATGACTTCTTAGCAATAAAATGAAGGAGTGTCGGCTGGGTTTCAAAGAAGCCGGGGCAGAGAGGCAGAAAGGGGAAGCTGACATCAATACATACGGCCACGTATAATTTGGGGCTGTGTATGCCTTCACAGATTTCAACTCACAGCAGCCCCGCAGAGCAGTGTAGAACCATATCATGGGTTTTCTGGGCTGTAATCTTCACTCATTAGCTTTGGAGGAGAGGGAACTGTCAACCTCTCAGTCAGCAGCCGAGCACTTGGCCACCTGGGGTCCTTTTTTTAAATGTACAGAATATTTCTGGAAGGACATACAAGGAACTAGAAATAGTAGCTCCTTCTCACACAGTATCTTCCACGTAAAGAAACAGCCAGGCAGGAATTAAAAACCAACCCTTTGGCTCTCAGGTGGATGCTGCTGTGTCAGCACGCGGGAGCCCGGGTTCGAACTCGAAATAAACTTTGTTAATTCGGGGGGAGGGCGGGGGGGGGGGTGGGAACCAACCCTCTGCTATGAAGACTGGCTGTTCCCGGCAGTGCTCCGCCAGGTTTCGGACGCTGTCAGTCTCTATGGGAGGAGACTGCCTACCTCTCTCTTGCAGAGGCTGGTGGCTTGAACTGACGACCTCGGGGTTAGCAGCACACCATGTAATACAATATGTTCCCCAGAGCTCTTCGGTAGCTTGGTGGTGAGGAGCTGCAATGACAAACTAAAAGCATGTGGTTCAAATCCACCAGCTGCTCCGCAGGAGGAAGATGGGAAATTTCCTCCCATGCGATTTACTGCCTAGAAAATCCACTGCAGGGTCAGCTGTGAGTAGGTTCTGACTTGATAGTTTTCAACATTTCTTAGGAAGATTATTCAGTACTTTTGGGTGTGTTTTTGTTTGTTTTTTTTTGCATTGCCGTTTCATCCCATGCATCAGTATTGTTTTTTCAAAGCCAGTGTTCAGCTCAGTAGACGTCTGTCAGGTAGGCACTGAGGGTCCAACTGGGCACTCAGAGTAAAAGATCATATTGCCATTTGTCGTTGTTGTTACGTTGCTGTCAAGTCTCCTGTGACTCATAGCGACCCTCTGTACAACAGCCCTAAACCCTGCTCTATCCTGTGCCAATCTTATTGTCTCTGACACACCCACCCCCATTACCCCAGTCACTGAATCAATCCATCTCATCGAGCATCTTCCTCTCTTGCACTCTCCCTCCACCCTCCCAAGCATGATGTCCCTTTCCAAGGACCAGTCCCTCCTTACAACATGTTCAAAGTATGTCAGATGAAGCTTCAGAATCTCTGCCTCCAAGGACCTGCCTGGTATCACCCTCTTTAGGACAAATCTGTTTGTGCTCTTAGCAGTCCATGGTATACTCAATACTCTTCTCCAGCACCACAACTCAAAGACATCAACTCTCCTTCTATCATCCCTAGGCATTGTCCAGCTCTCTGAAGCATAGCAAGTGTTTGCAAAGACCATGGCCTGTATCAGGTGCACCTTAGTCTCCAGACTGACATCGTTGCTCCTCAGTACCTTGGAGAGGTCTCTGACAGAAGACTTTCCCAATGAAATTCGTGTGTGTGTGTGTGTGTGTGTGTACACTGTCAAATCAGATCTGACTGGTACAGGAGGAGATTGTTCCCCCTTCTCCAGCAAAGCATCTGGTGGATTCGAACTGTACACCTCTGGGATTTCAGTACAGCTTCTTGCCACGAGGCCACCAGAGCTCGCCTGCAATTCACCTTTTAATTTCTTGGCTGCTGGTGCCAAGAGTGTTGATTGTGGAACCAAACGAACTAAAGCTGGTAACAATCGCAGTCTCTTCACCATCTATCATGATACTGCCAATTGGACCAGTGGTGAGAATCTTTGTTTTCTTGTTATTTATCTTCAATCCATATTCCAAAATAAATACAAACAAATAAGTTGCTGTCATCCAACTTATGGGGGCTTTACATGCAATTAGAATAGAACTGTGCTCCACACAGTTGATTTCCAATGGCTGTGTTGTGGTTGTTGTGCCATCGAGTCTACTCTGACTCATAGCGACCCTATGTACAACAGCTCTGAACTCTGCTCTATCCTGTGACAATTCCATCATCTCTGACACTCCTATCCCCATTACTCCAGTCACTGAATCAATTCATCTTATCCAGGGTCTTCATCTCTTGCACTGTCCCTGTCTAAGGACTGTAGCATGCCTTGCAAAATGCCCAAAATATGTCAGATGGAGCTTCAAAATCCTTGCTTCCAAGGAGCAGCCTGGCTTCACCCTTTCCAGGATGAAACTGTTTGTTCTCTTAGAAGTCCATGATATATTCAATACTGTTCTCCAGCACCAAAACTCAAAAACATTGATTCTCCTATCATCCTTTGTAATTGTCCAGCTCTCTGATGCAAAGCAAGTAATTGTAAAGACCATGGCCTGGATCAGATGCATCTTAGTCTCTAGACTGATATCACTGATCTTCAGTACTCTGGAGAGGTCCTGGACAGCAAATTTTCCTAATGCAATTCATCTTTTGATTTTCTGGCTGCTGGTAAGAGTGTTGACTGTGGAGCCAAGATATCTTTTTTAAAAATCTCTAGACCTTTTTTCGAACATACTTCTGGGTAGGTTTGAACCTCCAACTTTTCTGTTAGCAGGCAAGTTTGTTAGATCTTTGCACCATTGAGCAACTAACTACTGCTCTCTCCCATTGCTAGTGGGTCAGAACCAACTCACAGCTGACCCTCCAGCACGTTTTCAGAAGCAATAAATCACAGAGGAGGAGACTGTCCATCTTTTTCCCATGAAGCAGCTTATGGATTTGAACCACTTGCCCTGAATTCCTGGTCTTTGTTGAGTCAGAATTGACCCATAGCTGACCCTCTAGAGGGTTTTCAGAGGCCGTAAATCATACGGGAGGAGATTGTCCATCTTTCTCCTGCAGAGTGGCTGCCAATTAAAACAGTGCACCTTTGCATCGACAGCGCAATTCTTTGCCACTTAAACTACTGAGTCCTACAAATACTGAGACGTGGTTATTGTAAGAAAGCAAGGGGAGAACTGGGTTCAGACGTGGACTCACGAATTTAAGGCACAATCAGGATGAGTGCTGTGGTCCACGCACTTCAAGAGCTTCACTGGCCTGCAGGACGGAAAGGAACCATATTGCAGGATTATTGCAATAATTTAAATTAACTAACTAGTCATTTAAAATATTTCCATGATGTGATTCAGAAAGCATTTATTGTATGGCTCCAAGTTACTAGAAACACAGTCTCTGGCCTTGACTATCACTCAAAGGATTTACTTCTGAAATAACAACCAGCAGTTTGGAAGTACTTACTGTGTACACATTTCAGCAATGGTCACTTGTATGTCAGAGATGATGAGGACGGCACAGGATAAGACAGGGTTCAGATCTGTTGTTCAGTGTCACTACGAACTGTACTCAACTCAGTGGCACCTAACAATAACAGGGGCTCTTGGGTGGAGCAAATGCTAGGGTCCAACTAGTAACCAAAAGGTTGGCAGTGCAAACGCCATACAGTAACTGGTGCAATGGGAGTAGGTATGTGTCAAAGACAATGAGACTGGCTCATCTTAGCACAGGGTTCAGAGCTGTGGTGCACAGGGTTGCTGTGAGTCACAGGTGACTCGATGGCACATAACAGCACCTGTGTTGTTGTTATTTGTTGAATCCAACTCATGACTCATGGTAACCTGCTCTCACTCTGCTCTCGCTCTTACTCTCTCACTATCGCTGTTTTCCAGTTTGAAACAACTCACAGCTGACCCTCCATTGGATTTCCAAGGACATAAATCCCACAGGAGGGACCCTCTGTTGTAGCTGAATAATCAAAGGTGTTTGTTCTTTGAGTTAGCAGCTCCACTCTTTACAGACTGTGCCACTGAAGATCCCTAACCCTACACATGACAGCACAGAGTGGCACATTTCCTGTGCCATCTTTGTGACCATGGTATGCCTGAATCCACTGATTTGTTGTTTGCGTCACTATCCCTCTTGGGAGATCTCCAAGAAGCTCCTGTCTAGAGTGCAAAGTACTGATCCTGGACAAGGACCCACAGATAGGACAGAATCCAAAGTTCCTGGAGCCACGTCCCCGTGTTACTCATCCAAGCATGCTAGCAGAGGAGAAAGCCAGACATGCCCTAGAGATAAATAACCCGGTCACCCTGAGTGTCCTATCACTATCAACCAAATGACTGGACAGAAATAGGCGGGACCCAGGTATACCTTGGCCAATGGCCCTCCCTGCCCCCACATATGGAGGCAGCCAGAAGGCATAGCCCTGTGTCCTGGGGAGGTGATCCCCAGTAAAACCCCATTCTGTGGATTCTGACTCGTGGGAACTCCATATGCATTGGAGCAGAACCGTGCTTTATAAGGTATATAGTGGGCATGTCTTTTCCAAAACAGATTACCAGGTCTTTGTTATGAGCACCTCTGCGTGGACTCACCACACCACCACCAAGACCCACCTCCAATTCCCCACTCTATCTCTGAGCACCCACATTGATTATGCACCACCACTTACAGGTAGTCGTTAATACAGCTGTACTCAAAACCCATTCCCTTCAGTCTCTCTTCCAGTGTTTTCACGCTGCCTTCGCCACAGGATTCCCTAAAAATAAACAGAAAGAGGCAGTTGAAGTTGCTTCTGGGTGCATTAAATTTCATTTCACCACGTGTTCCTGAAATGTTCAGAGGGAACACAGGTAAGCTGTGGTTGGCTAGAGAAATGGAATGTTCCAAGTAAGACTGGCTCCAAGAGGTCACTCTAGGAACCCAACTCGAAATCTGAAGTGGAGAGGCTACTGAACAGGAGAGAGCCTGGCCTGGAGCATGGTGTTGGCCACATGGCAAAGTCACAGCCATTCCCCACCCATCAGCACAAACCCACGAGGGCCTCAAGGCTGGGTTCAAAGGTAAGGGCCCCTGGTTCAACCCACAGAGAAGAGAAACAAATTCTGCTTCATATGTTAATTTTAATTCCAAATAATAACCAAAATGTACAAGTGTTAATGATTCACAAAACACAGGTACTCAAAAGAGAAAAAAAGAATGTATAAAACACAAAGTACGTGGGGCTAAACACAAAGTATAAATTATTACATGTAAATCAATAAAAAATGTAAAAAGGGAAAAATAATCACCTTAAATCTCACCTCTCTACAGTAGCTGCAGCTGAAATTTGATGTCTATCTATCCTTTTGGTACTTACATTGTTGTTGTTGTTGTTGTTATGTGCCACAGAGTTGGAATACCCATTCCTGCAGGGGATTTTCACAGACAGTAAATCACACAGGAGGAGATTGCCCATTTTTTTCCATTGAATTGTAACCTGTTTACTTCCCTAACAAAGCCCCTAATAGTGAATACAGCAGTGTGTGTGTGTGTGTGTGTGTGTGTGTGTGTGTGTGTGTGTGTGTTTTATTATTAATTTCAATGAAAATTTACAGAGACTTTGGATTTCCATTCCTTCATTGTTGCACTTTTCTCCCCTCCCAATCCTCCTCCCACGTGAATATGGTTTTGTGTGGTCTACATAGCTATGACAACAGATTTTAGACCCAAGAGGGTAACAGGCTTGGTGTTGGGATTAGCAGAAAGTAGTGCAAGAGTATGGGGAGGACATGTCTGACCTCATGAGGGTTTTATATTGTGGATGTTCCCTCTTGGGGGGTTAGGAGAGGTCAGAAATGGCCATTCCCATGCTGCTATGACTCTATTTACAAGCATAAACTCCTGAAAGCTGTATTTCTGGCACAAACGGTTTGAATGTATTTTATTGGTCTAGACACGCACTGCCCATCTTTCCCTAAGCTGTCTACCCTGGAAGAATGAGCACCTACTTCCCCACACCCTCATCAACAGAAGTTCCTGCCATCATGACAGCCACGCTAAGGAGGGAGCTCTCATAAAGGCACACAGAAACAAAAACAGTGATTCCAGATGTGATTGGCAGGCTTGCTGTCATTGCTAGGTGCCATCCATTCAACTATAACTTATGGCAAACCTATTAACAAATCTGAACTTTCCCATCCTGAACCATCCTCAAGATCTCCAAGGTGTTCAAGCCCATTATTACAGTAACCATGTCCATTTATGGTGTTCAGAGTCTTTATCTGAAACTCTGCCTTTCCCAACATGATGTCTTTTTCAAAGACCTGGTCTCTCCTGACAACATGCTTAAAGTATGTGAGATGAAGTTTCACATTCCTTGCCTCCAAAGAAGACCCTGGTTCACTCCCTCCAAGAGAAACGTATTCTGTTGACAGCAGTGAGATAGTCAGTGTGGGAAGCTGAATATAAACTGAACACTGTGACACGTATGAGTCAAATGTGAGATTGGTTACCCATGGTGGACAGTGTTTGGTGAAACTCCCCGATTAAAACAAGCTTGGAAGCAGGAGTGGCATCCACTTCCATAACAGCTTGCCTCTGGAAACCCTATGAACCTAGAGAAAGGATGACAGTTATACAGGAGGTGTCCAGGACTTTTGTTCATAGGGTCACTATGAGTCACTTATGATTGGACCTGCATTTAACAACAATAACAATAAGCCAAATGCTATATCAGGATATAAGGGAGGCCTAATACAATAGGGCTGTTGTACATAGGGTAGCTATGAGTCACAAACGACTGACAGCACATGACAACAACAATACAAGCTGGAGTTCACCCTGAGGCACTAAGGCATTCCTTAAGAGTAAGCATCTTCTTAGTTTATATTTATTGAATCCCTTCCCTCTGATATTAGTATAAGGTAAACAATAAAGAACTCCACCTTATGTGCAAAAGACTTCCCCATGATCCTGTGTTTTTGTTTTCTACTCCCTTGTGATTATCCTTTGTTTACCTTCCTGATGATTCTCAATAAATACAGAGAGGCATGGCTTGGGCACTTCAGTCGTCAGGACTGCTGGCCCCCTGTCTTTACTCTCTCTTATCTCATTCTTCGTTGTCTGTCTCATTACTTTACCCTCGGTCTCCAACAAATCAGTGCTATTCTTGCATATCACAACTCAAAGGCATTGGATTTTCTTTGATCTTCCTTATTCCTTTTTCAACATTCAGAAGTATCCATAATTTCAGGTAGTGCTTTGCCCAGTTTTATGGGGAATGGAAGGTAAAACCTCAAAGTGGAGAGAAATAACAAAGAAAGATATGCAGGAAGAAGATGGAACACAGACAGCTGGAGGAAGATTTCACAGTCAAGAAAAGATTCTGCATGACAGGAACGAAGCAGGCCAGGTGTGAGTTATTTTCTATTTCAGAATTTGCCCACATCAGGAATGCCACCTTTCTCTGATTGAGGTTTATAACTTGGATTTTTTTTTCAGCAATGACACAGAGGCTCATGGACACCTGAACATAATAGCAGTCAGCCGCTATATTTTATTTTCTTTACTATATTTTTATTTATTATTTTTGTGTGTGTGTACTGTCAAATCAGATCCAACTGGTACAGGAGGAGATTGCCCCTCCTTCTACAGCAGTATCTAGTGGATTCGAACCACGTACCTCTAGAATTGCAGTGCAGTTTCTTGCAGCTAAGCCACTAGAGCTCCCTATTCACTATTTTTTTAATTTTTATTATTAATTTTAATGAAAATTTATAGAGACTTTGGAATTCCATTCATTCACTGTTGCCTTTTTCTCCCTGCCCATCCCTCCCCCTCAGCTCACTCTTCTCTTCGAAAAGTAAAAGAAAAATTCCTTCATATTTAAATATTCCTTCATACAATCCCTCCCTCCAAGTCTTTTAAGAGCAGCGGCCAAGGCAGGATCAGCTCTTAGCCATAATATGTTGTGCTCCCTACTTAATGAAATTGTTATCCCTCCAATCTGAATGTTTAAGACATGTGGGAACAAATATAAAGAGCTTTGCTCATAATCCAAATGTTCAACCAGGAAGGGAGAGGTCAGACATCTTTTATTACCCTTCCTGCAGTAGAAATGATAGGCTGAAATGTTCAATTGCTGTTTCCTTGTCTTTTTAAAGGCAGGTCCAAAGGACACAGTTTGTCTGATGGAGATCTTATGAACATGTAAGATTATTATGAACAAGTAAATTCTGGCAAAGAGCGACTTCTCACAGAAGGAAGGCAAGCAATATACCGTAAAACCTGCAAAGGCCAGACTTTGTCAGCAAGAAATTTGTCAGAGAAGGGAAACTTAAATTGTTGATGTTAGGTGCCATCAAGTCAACTGTGACTCGTAGTGACCCGATGAGCAACTGGTCAGAACTTTTTTCTACCCTGTGGCATTTTCACAACCTCTACCATGCTCAAGTTCCTTGTTGCAAACACTGTGTCCTTCCACCTCATTGCAGAGGTCTCTCCTCTTTCCCCAGTCCTCTAGATTTTCAAGCAAAAAGTCAGATCTCCAGTAGCTTCCTCTAATAACATTGGAGAAGTACAAAGTCACCCAAAGGCTAAAAATCTGGGAGACCTGGGAAAAAAGGACAGCTCCTGTGGAATTCCAACTCATACAGGCTTCACTGTCCATGGTTTCCTGTGCTGTAAGTATGTAATTTGTTTTCTGCAGATGTTGCTATAACTTCTGTAATCTGTTGTTTGTTGTTTTGCAGTTGAATCAGAAGTGGCTTTGTGGCTGACCTTCTAGTGGGTTCTCAGAGGCTATCAAATCAGATGGAAGGCGATTTCCCAACTTTGTCCCTCAGAGAAGTGGATAGATTAGAACTGTCTGCGGCCTTTGGGTTGGCACTATAACTCTTTACCCACTATGCCACCAAGTGTTCCCTATGTAATACGTGTGTACAGTGGAGTCAAGCACCGACTCATAGCTGACCCTCTGGCAGGTTTTCAGAGGCAGTTAATCACACGGGAGGTCATTGCCCATCCTTCTCCTGAGGAGCAGATAGAAGGCCTTGAACGCCTTTGAGGTTGCAGCTCTGCTTTTTGCCACCAGGCCATCTAAGTTCTCTATGTAACACGTTGTTGTTGTTATGTGCCGTCGAGTCACTTGCGAATCATAGTGACCCTATGTACAACAGCCCTAAACCCTGCTCTATCCTGTGCCAATCGCATTGCCTCTGACACACCCATCCCAATTACCCCAGTCACTGAATCAACCCACCTCATAGAGGGTCTTCCCCTCCTGCGCTGTCCCCTCTACCCTACCCAGCATGATGTCCCTCTCCAAGGACCTGTTTCTCCTTACAACATGTCCAAAGTATGTCAGACGAAGCCCCAGAATCCTTGCCTCTAAGGAGTAGCCATAACAACAAGGATGAATCTGTTTGTTTTCTTGGCAGTCCATGGAACATTCAATACTCTTCTCCAGCACCGCAGCTCAAAGGTGTCAATTCTCCTTTTATCCTCCCCAGTCATTGTCCAACTCTGATGCATAACAAGTGATTGCAAAGACCATGGCCTGTATCAGGCGCACCTTAGTCTCCAGAGAGACACCGTTGCTCTTGAGTACTTTAGAGAGGTCCCTAACAGCAGACTTTCCCATCGCAATACATTTTTTTTTATTTCCTGGCTGCTGGTGCCAAGAGTGTTGACCGTGGAGCCGAGCAAACTGAAGCTGTGAACAATCTCAATCTCTTCGCCATCCATCCTGATGCTACCGATTGGTCCAGTGGTGAGAATTTCTGTCTTCTTAAATTTAATCTCTTGCCCAAAAAGATAAGAAAAGTCATCACTTTAATCTTAGAGAGTTCTCAACTCCTTGCCATCAAATCAAGACTGCCTCACAGCTACCCTTTCAGCAGGTTTTCAGAGGCTATAGACTGCGTGAGAAGACAGTGCCCATCCTCCTCCCATGGAGCAGCTGGTTGATTAGAGCTTCTCATCTTGGGGCTGGCAGCACGACTTCCTACTGCCTAGACCACCAGAGCTCCCTTAAAGACTCCTGCGAACCTGAAAAGAAGGTTTTGCCAAATTCTTGTGGACACACGTTCTATGCTCCACTAGTCAAAGGGATAGGCAGTCCAGTTCTTCCTGCACTGCCCCAAACCCAGCCTTGCTTGCCTCCGAGGCTCCATCATGACGTCTCAGCTTTAGTAAGACTCCGGTGTGTGCCTACATCACTTACCACTGCTAAGAAGGATGAGTCCAAGCTTTCATTTATATACTCTTAATTTTCCCTGTCACAGAAAAGCATTCCAGATAAGGGAGGGCATATCTCTTTCTAGAATCAAGACCAGTTAGTGGTACTCTCAGCAAATCAAGATCCTGTCTTTCTCTGCCTACTGCTTCAGATGAAAAGAAGACTTAATTTTTTAAAAAAAAAGAAGAAGAAAATGTGAAATGAATGTAAACATATACGGCCCAAGGGAAGCTCACTTGCCCATCCACCCATCATCAACAACTTACACTTTGGGTCCACCAATTTCATGCATTACCCAGACTTCAAACCTTGTGACATTATCTTTCTGGAAGTATGGGATTTCATAGTCTGCAAAAAACCTGAAAAACAAGGGGAAAAAAATATATATGTGGTGATGTTGTTGTTGTGTACTGTTGAATGAGAACTGACCCATAGCTGATTCTCCATCAGGTTTTCAGAGGCAGTTAATCACATGGGAGGAAAATGCCCATCCTTCAAATATATATATTTATATA